GAATGCAGTTGGCCAGAGCAAACCCAGAAAAAGCTGCAGCCGCTGTCTCTAAATGATGGAGTGCTCTCAGCAAGGGAGGCACACCAACCCTCTTCTCCTTTTTGCTTCTTCCCTCTTTTCTTTACCCAAATGCAGTGTGCACCATGCCACCTGCAACAGCAGGCGCTTGCACTCCAGGGCCTCCGTGGGCCCTCCCAGCTCCTCCAGTTTTTGCTTCCATGGAAAACTTGAGCAGCTTCATTTCTTACACCTATTTCCCCTTTTGTACCAAAACACTCAACCGCCATTCATCCAAAACTCTCAAACAGCCACTCACACACCCAGCTCCATGTGTCTCTTAAAGCAAGGCATTCCTGCGAAATGCAGCACCTCACAGACTCGCATCCCCAGCACAATCTGCCTTTTCCCTTTAGGCCCCATGTACCAAACACCTGCAGGTCCAACAGGCAGAGAGACCAGGTCAGCCCAGGGAAACCCACGAGGGAAGTGGCCAGGCCTGAGTGCATGAGGCCCGCCACCCCCCCTTCGCTGCCCCCAGGGGCCATCTTCACTCGTTGAACTGCAGCCTGCCACCCTTCAGGCTGCTTGCTAAGCACAACCATCCAATCTCCACTATTTTTCTGAAAACCTCCTCAACACGTAAAAGAAAACCCTTCCCTACTGCATCTCTGCTTTAGTTTTCATTCCTTTTTTTCCATTTCTTTCCCTGGGAATCCCTTCAGAATAAGCAGGATTCCCCCCTCCCTTTTCCTTCCTTGCCACAATCCATCTGCTCACTTGCCTCTTCCTACTTGCAACATCTACAAAATCCCAGTCCAAACCATGAAAGTGCAAACCCTTCCACTAGTGCAAAACCACAGCGCACAACACTGTCCCTTGGCACGTGTTTCCTCCTGAACAAATCCCCTTCCTGCTTTCCTACCATGCCTTCCTTCACAAACTTCCTCCAGCAATATCTGATGGGCCGGATTTCCTGAATCCATTTCCCCTTCCAGCCCCTCAGATGCAGTTTCCACCTTTCTTGGCCCTAAGTACATGTCCTAATTCAAGTTCCTTCTCCAAAAAGAACCTGCTAACCTCACCTCAACTGCACCTCCAGGGAGTTTGAGCTGTTCCCTGAAAGGCCCCAAACTTTAGGCCCAATCTGCAAGAACTCCCTATTAACCATGACTAACAACAGCAACAACAACAATTATCCCCCCATCCCCATTTATTTAGGCGGGATTCCTATCAAACACACATACAATACACAGTTGTTTTCCATTCTCCCTTTTCCAGCCACCCCAACCCAAAAGCTATCCCAGAACCTCATAATTGTCCCCAGGAACTTGCAAGGAAGGCATTTTTCCTTGGCCCCTTTACCCCTATAGAAACAGAATGGGTCAGGAAGGGCCTCCTGGGCCATCCTGTCTGACCTCCCCCCCTAAATACTTTACTCTCCATTCCCTTTCCCGCAGGTGAGAAAGAAACATTCATTTCCTAAACATAGATGCATCTTATCAGGTTTACCCCACCTGAGTAAACCCCCTTTTGAGCCTCTCCTGAGGTTTTAGATGTCTCTGCTGCCAGTTTTTCAATCAGACTCGGGTATCCGATCGCACCCGATTCGGTCTGAGAGTCACTTGCAGGAATGCCATAACCTTGGCAGGGTACCCTCCTACGGAGACTCACAAAATCGATCCAATGAGGGATTTAGGAGATATCCTGGATGAGCCTCCATATTGTTATAATCACTCTTTCCTTTCCGTCGGAACAGAAAAATATTCCATGCAAGAAGAGAGTTCTTTTTAAAACTTCATTGCAATGAAGAGAACAGAAGGGAAAGGCTTCCTTCCCAATTCTTCCGTTCCGCTGAGCACATGTTCACACCCCGCTTTGAATCCTGCTCCCGGCCGCTTGTTCCCTCCTCTGTTCCCCG